GATGCCATCAGAAAGGCCCATGTTATGAGAAATTAGCTTATGCTTCAGACTTCCTAAAGATAGGGTGTTTTTTTTTTTTACTGTGTGGGGAAGAATAAGCCACAAAAATAATTTTTCTAACTGGTAAGACAAGAATGGTCTCTTCTATAGCATAGCATTCCGTCAGTCAAGTCAAAGCGTCTGTATCCTTCAATCTCTGTTTCTAAATATAATGCTTTTCATTTCTCTGTGTCACTCTTCCCTGTGTTTCCAGCATGTGGCACATTTCTCAATGAAGGATGAAATTATGTCAGACATTGACTTCCCAGAGCCAGCGTTTTATTAAGTGATACCACAGAACACGCAAACAGTATTCAACATAGGAGGGAGAATTAACAGTTATGAATTAATTTCATCCCCCACAGGACACAGAATTTTGGCACCACCATTTTGCAACAGAAGCAGAAACAAATTAGACATAAGTACGAGAGAAATGTGCCTGCCAGGTTAGACTTACCATGAAACGTGTCTGCAAACAAACAAAACAAATTAAACCTATTCACAAACTGTCAAACATTTTCAGGTAGAAGTTTAGCGGGAACATTTCTGCAGCTCAGGACTGTGAACTTTCCTTGAAGAACTGAGTGATACTGAGCAGTACACAACCAATTTTCCCTACTGGGTAGGAGGGTTCCTATGGGATTGCTTTAACTGAGAAGCAGTGACATCAGATGCTATTAGAAACACAAGCCAAATGAGCATTTTAGCTACTAGAAGCTATCATTCTTCTTTCAAGCTTGAGTACTGCAGTGCAAAGTCATTGAATGAGCAGCTGTCTAAATGGAATAAATGGGAGAAAGGACAAGGCAGAAAAGAAAAGCAGATCTGATGGAGAAAGCCACAGAATCACAGAACGGCCAGGGTTGGAAGGGACCTCAAGGATCATGAATCTCCAGCCCCCCTGCCACATGCAGGGCCTCCAACCTCCTCGTTTAATGCTTGACCAGGCTGCCCAGGGCCCCATCCAGTCTGGCCTTGAACACCCCCAGGGACGGAGCATCCACAACCTCTCTGGGCAGCCTGTTCCAGCACCTCACCACTCTCTCTGTAAAGAATTTCCCTGACATCCAACCTAAATCTCCCCTCCCTCAACTTAAAACCATTTCCCCTTGTCCTGTTGTTATCTACCCTTTCAAAGAATCGATTCCCCTCCTCTCTGTAGGCTCCCTTTAGTTATTGAAATGCTGCAATGAGGTCACCCCACAGCCTTCTTTTCTCCAGGCTGAACAAGCCCATCTCCCTCAGCCTGTCTTCATAGGGGAGGTGCTCCAGTCCCCTGATCATCTTCGTGGCCCTCCTCTGGACCCTCTCCAACAGCTCCCTGTCTTTCTTGTACTGGGGGCTCCAGACGTGGATGTAGTACTCCAGATGGGGCCTCACAAGAGCAGAGTAGAGGGGGACAATCACCTCTCTGTCCCTGCTGGCCACCCCTCTTTTGATGGAGCCCAGGATACCATTTGCCTTCTGAGCCACAAGGGCACACTGCTGGCTCATGTTAAGTTTTTCATCTATCAAGACTCCCAGGTCCTTCTCCTCAGGGCTGCTCTCAAGGACCGCTCCTTCCAGTCACAAAGCCACACTCTGGATCCCCCTCCCTCCATAGGAGCTCAGTTGACTAGAGGGGGCTAACCTGTCCAGCTGCCTTCTGGGGTGAAACACAAGGCAGAAGCCTCTGAATTTCTCTGGTGTGGGCACCATCTCTTATTTTTCATACGATGTTTTAATTGGAGAGCGAAGAAATCAATTTTGTAATTGAGAATTACAATGAAGATAGTGCAACAGCCAAAATATGATCAATTTATATCAGGTTAGTTGATGATTAAATAAGCAAGTAATCATTTTAAATATTTGCCATCATTAGCATGTTATTAAGGTTCCACTTATTTCTTTTGCTTATTTTTCCATTCTCCCTATTATTTATAATCATTCTCACTGTTTACATGTACTAATTCATTCCAAAACTTGTGCAACGTGACAGCCACATTATACTGAAGTACACTGGTGATAAATCAGAATCACTACTCGGAATTTGGGGACAAAAAAGAAGTCTTGGATTAAGTAAATGTCTGTAAAATACAACTGTTAGAAGCCATGGGGTAATTAAACCGCACAAGGCTAGAAGCAGAGCCAGCAGAAAGATGTCATCATTTTTCATTTCTAGAGCACAACTGCATTTTCAGTCAACGCAGGAGAAATGTAAATGTGGTTTGATCAATACCACAGAATTGGTGAAAATAGGTCTCCTTGTAGAAAATGAGCAAAAAAAAAGCACTAAGATTGGATGAGATGAGCAAAATGTGAAAGCGTTCGTGCTCTCCAACAGTCCCACAGGAGCAGGCAGAAGTCCCCTGTATGGGCCAGTGCACGTACACAGATGTGTTCCACCCACCTTCTGCTATCACAGGTCTTCAGCTTTTTGTGCCGCCCTGATGAATGGGGTGTCACTCACTGGAAAACAAAAAACTGGAAAAATTCTTCTTATATATATTAAAGAAAGAAAAAGTAGAGGACTCAAGACTGGGGTCTACCGAGAAGCCACAGCACATGTTGGAAACACAGGTGTGTGCTAATTGCACTGCCAGATGTAGAGTGGGGAGAGAGTGGTAAAGTCCATAGCTTTCCATATGTTAAAATAGGCTTTTGGTTTCTCTTTCCAAAAGAGAGGTGTTGGGAAGCAACATGCTCACTGAGCTGGGACTGGCACATTCTACACTGTACAGCTCCAAATCTTCATCACACCCAGCTCCCATCACAATGCACACTCCACTTAACCATCAATCAATATTCCAGCTGTCATTGAACAGCTAGCCCATGTTTTCAAAAGAATAGAACCACTTACTAAAGTAATTTAGGAGAGGTTTTATGTTTCATTTAATGGTAATTTTAAGGGATCTTCTCCTGAAATCAATTCAAATCTGATATAGAACTAGCATAAGATGGTGATTTATCTGAGGAAGTCAACAAACTCTCCTTCAGATGACATCAAAATCAATGGAAACACACAAAAGAACCGCAACTGTTTTCAGACAGCTCCAGCATTGCTCCACCCAGTTTTTTTTTTGTTCCATCACAGCTGAACTAGAAACCCACCTCTTTTCTGTGACTAACCAACTCCATTAATTTCATTAATGTTTAATAAGAGACCTCACTTTATCTACTCCAACAAGACAAGGGATCTGCTTTAACAACTTATCTTCTAAGGATATGTGCACTGGTGATCTTTCAGGCATCCTTGGAGGAACAGCCATTTTCACTGATCACTCATTTTTTTAATAATGATTCATTCTTCACTATTAATCCAAGGAGTAACAATTCTGTTTTGCAATGGTTTTGTTCTCTCATCATGAGCAGTTACAGTTTATCTGTCAGAAGAAAATCCCTGGGGTGCAAGTGGCAGAAGTCTCACACAGAGTCTCAGTGACTGAGGCAGGCAGATTTTAAATCTGATGCCTTAGCTATGCAGGAAGCAGAGGTTTCTTCAGCATCTGCAGTCTCATACAGCAGATCCAGTCTCACTGTATGCAAGCTTGATTAATTTTGACTGCTTCCATTCAGTTGCAGTCAAGTTTTTCTCTCTGACTTTTTTTTCATACCACTCTGCAGACAAGATTGCCCAAATCTGGACTGAGCTGTCTACTGCCATGGAAACAGAACAGTATTCTCAAGAGATAAACACTGCATCTCCTCTACTAGCACTTCAGCCTTGCTCACAAAAGTTAGAGATGATGGCACAGGTTTCTTTTTGCAGCCTGTAAAAACTTGGCTTTTACTTTTCTTGGAAGGAGAGAGCCAGATGGGGAATCCCGCATCCACCACTGGTTGCACCATCAGCACTTCTCTGCGGCAAGGGGCCAGCAAGCCTATGGAGCCATGCAAGGTTGTGCTCAAGCAGAGAAGTCTTGGCAGAAACAGCCTCACTGGCTGTTAGCAGCCTCTGT